ATCTTTTGTCTGTACAGCGCACGTTGTATACTCTCAAGCCCAAAATATATTTCGGATTGCCACGGGATTTCTTGGCATTTGGCGCAAACTTCTCCAACTTCTTGTTCCAACCCATCTTTAACCTCGAAACTTGGCACCCTGCTCTGCAAGTCTCCCTTTCCCTGGTATTGAGCTTGATTTATTGGATCTCTACACTTTGTGCAACATGCGCCGCTGTCTCCAAGACCCCGACTCACAATAACCGCACCTTACCTCCACCTCAAGAAGCTCCGCCCTGCACATCAACTTCTTTTTAGTTTTCTCTCTCCCATAATAACAGCCCATATCACGCACCATGGACAATAAAGATTTCGTGTCGGAAAATCTTTTCCGCCTAACGGGCGCGTCAGAGCCCACCGTAATCGACTTCGTACTCGCGACCGCCAGCTCAGCCAAGTCGACCTCCTCCCTCCAAGATACCCTGACGTCCTTCCTGGATGGCATAGATGCCAGCGAAATTGGTGCCTTTGCTCGAGAGCTCCATGCCCGCATGGGGAAGGGCGCACAGTCCAGCGCCTCTGCCTCCAAACCCGCAACGAGCAAGGAATCCACGAAAAAGAAGTACCGCCTGGTAGACATGGGCGAAGACCAACCAGAACCCGCCCCATCGCTAGGACCAACCAACGTCGAGGCAGACCGAGAGCGACGGAAAAGACGGGACAGAGACAGCGACAAGGATAGGAGCAGCAGCAAGCGAGACTCCGAGCCTCGGAGTCGCGGGGAGAAGGACGACAGCCGAAAGCGAGACCGAAGCCGCGATGCAGAGAGCCGCGACCGGCCACGGATGAGGAAGCTCCGCAAGAAGGGCTCTCAGGACTTCGACGATCGATGGGGTGACGAAGAGATCCTCGAACAGATTGTCGAAAACGAGATTTACCCGAAGGAATTCGAAGAATCCCCCCAAAGCGCACGCGACTCGATGATGGCTCTGCGTCTCCCAATCCCGCGTCATTGGCCGACGATATCGATATCGACCCTGAGACCAAGCAAGAGATCGACCGCCAACGAGATCTCCGTGAACGAGACGAGTTTGCCAAACGACTAGCTAATAAGGAAAGTAGCAAGTCGAAGAAGATTGTTGAGGATCGGACGCGCGACGGCGAGGCTGCACGGCGACGTGCGCTGGGCGATGATGCCAGCGCACGGGCTTCGATGATGCCCGATCTGCGAGAACGATCTCGACAGGAATACTTGAAGAAGCGCGAGGCAGAACGGTTAGCACTACTGCGACGACAGGTTATAGAGGAGGCTGCGGAGTTGCGTGAAAACCCCAATCTGTCTCGCAAGGAGAAGGAGGAGTTCGCGCGCAATCGAGAGGTCCTTCGTCTCGCCGAGGAACGGCTTCGGATCGACGATCACCGTGATGGCTATCAGATGCCATCCGACTATATTACGGAGAAGGGGAAAATCGACCGGAAGAAAAAGGAAGAGGCTCTGTACAAGCGGTACGTCGAGCGTGATGAGCTGGGCCAGGAGCGATTCGTCACAGAGCACGAGGAGTGGGAGCTGGAGCAGGCGGCCAAGGCCAAGGCACAGATCAAAAAGGCCGAGTTCGTCGATGAGGGAGACTATGAGTACGTCTTCGATGATTCGCAGCAGATCAACTTTGTTATGGACGCCAAACTCGAGGGCACGCAAAAGCCAATGACGCAGGAGCAGCTGCGGTTCAAGGAGCAGGTCGATGCAGCAGAGAAGAAAGCCCTCTCGATGGAGGAAACCCGCAAAAGTTTGCCCATCTATCAATTCCGTGATCAGATCATCCAGGCTGTGGCAGAGCATCAAGTTTTAATTATCGTCGGTGAAACTGGTTCCGGAAAGACCACACAGATCCCACAATACCTCCATGAAGCCGGCTACACCAAGGATGGCCTCAAGATTGGTTGCACGCAGCCGCGACGAGTGGCTGCCATGAGTGTTGCTGCTCGTGTGGCGGATGAAATGGGTACGAAGATCGGAAATGAAGTTGGTTATGCCATCCGATTTGAGGACAATACCAGCGACAAGACCATTCTCAAGTATATGACCGATGGAATGTTGCTACGAGAACTGTTGACAGAGCCGGACCTGAGCCAGTACGCAGCCTTGATGATTGACGAGGCGCACGAACGGACGGTGCCCACCGATATCGCTTGTGGTCTGCTCAAGGATATTGCGAAAGCTCGACCTGATCTGAAGCTGCTAATTTCTTCGGCGACGATGGATGCCCAGAAGTTCCAGAAGTATTTCGACGATGCGCCCATTTTCAATATTCCTGGTCGCCGATACCCTGTCGACGTGCACTACACTTCACAACCTGAAGCCAACTACCTCGCCGCAGCCATTACAACGGTCTTCCAGATCCACGTCACGCAAGGCCCTGGAGATATTTTGGTCTTCTTGACTGGACAAGAGGAAATCGAGGCCGCCGAGCAAAGCTTACAGGAAACGGCTCGAAAACTTGGGAGTAAGATTCCGGAGATGATTATTGCTCCTATCTACGCCAACCTGCCATCTGAACTGCAGACTAAGATTTTCGAGCCGACTCCGCCTAATGCGCGAAAAGTGGTGCTTGCCACTAATATCGCTGAAACTAGTTTGACCATCGATGGTATTGTCTACGTGATTGATCCTGGATTTGTCAAGGAGAACGTGTTCAATCCACGCAGTGGAATGGAGAGCTTGGTCGTGACGCCGTGTTCGCGTGCCTCGGCCAACCAGCGAGCCGGACGTGCTGGGCGTGTCGGCCCGGGCAAGTGTTTCCGCCTGTATACCAAGTGGGCGTACTATAACGAGCTGGAAGAGAACACTACCCCGGAGATCCAACGTACCAACTTGAATGGAGTGATTCTGATGTTGAAGTCGCTGGGAATCGACCAACTACTCGACTTTGACTTCATGGACCCTCCGCCGGCGGAGACCATCATCCGCGCTCTAGAGCAACTGTATGCGCTCGGGGCACTCAACGACCGAGGCGAGCTGACCAAGGTCGGCCGGCAGATGGCCGAGTTCCCAACGGACCCGATGCTCGCCAAGGCGATCCTTGCCGCCGACAAATACGGATGCGTAGAAGAAGTGCTGTCGATCGTGTCGATGCTCGGCGAAGGCAGCGCACTCTTCTTCCGACCCAAGGACAAGAAGATCCATGCGGACAGTGCGCGCAACCGCTTCACCATCAAAGAAGGCGGTGACCATTTGACGCTACTGAACGTCTGGAACCAATGGGTCGACTCGGACTTTAGCATAATCTGGGCGAAAGAGAACTTCCTGCAGCAGCGCAGTCTGACGCGGGCGCGCGATGTGCGCGATCAGCTTGCCAAACTGTGCGACCGTGTCGAGGTGGCTGTCAGTACCTGTGGGTCTACGAATATCCAGCCAATCCAGAAGGCCATCACGGCTGGGTTCTTCCCCAATGCGGCGCGACTCCAGCGTGGCGGTGACAGTTACCGCACTATCAAGAATGGACAGTCGGTATACTTGCATCCGTCCAGTACACTTATGGAGATTAACCCTCGCTGGGTCATCTACTTCGAGTTAGTGCTTACCAGCAAGGAGTACATGCGCAGTAATATGCCGCTGCAGCCAGAGTGGCTGGTAGAGGTTGCGCCGCATTACTATAAGAAGAAGGATTTGGAGAGTCTAGGGTTGGATCGCAAGGTAACGAAGGGGCAGGGGGCGGCTGGAGAGAAGAGTCGAGAGTAGAACGGATAATGTAGTTGGATAGCCTCATATAAAATAGACACCTCAGGCACTAATCCTCCAACCAATCACCGTCCGGATAATTCAAACCGCGGCAAATCAACCGAACCTCGGTTTCTCCGCTTTCCCCCAGACTTCCAAGGCTTCTCCGAATTTTATACGTCACGTCAGCTACTGATTTCCCCTTTTTCTCATCTCTCAACTCCTCAATCTACATTCTACCTCAAAATGTCTAAAACATTCACCCCTGCTGAAGTGGCCAACCACAAGACTGCCGATAAGGGCCTCTACATCATCATCGACAGCAATGTTTTCGATGTAACCAACTTTGTCGACGAGCACCCCGGCGGCGCAAAGATTCTTAAGCGTGTAGCGGGCAAGGATGCCTCGAAGCAGTTCTGGAAAGTATGTATTTTCTTTTTTCTTCATTCTTTTCTTCTTATTTCTCTTCAAAACCAAAATGTTATTTATTGTTATGATCGGCTATCGTTCGAGTCGGCTATTGAAAGTATGTAACTAACGCCGTTTAGTATCACAACGAATCCGTGCTGAAGAAGTACTCACCCAAGCTAAAGGTCGGCGAAGTCAAGGATGCCGCGAAGCTGTGAATATTCTATTGGAAAATGAAGGAAATGATATACTCGAGTGTTTTGGTTTGGGAGGATAAGCCCACTGCGGGAAACCCCGATCAGCTGCACATCACATAAATGTCACGATGTTGTATTTACTCCGCTAGCGAACGTTATACCCGTGATTCCTGTTTGATTATTTTGCTCTGTGAATATCAACTTACTACCCGGGGCATGAATAGAACAGAATAGACCAATATGGGAGGTTGGAGGTTGGTACATACAGAAAGGCTTCATTCTTGCTCATAACCAAGACTTATACATTATGTTCAAATATAAACACGAAGATCAATACATATATCCAGGATCTGCTGGGTTGATAGTTGGAATGTCAAAAAAAAAACGCCCTTCTCCCTCCCGCTGCACGAGCAATAGTATCCGAATCAAAGTGGTATCAACTCGAAAGCGACAAATGGTAAATGACAGATAATAGATGTGTGAGGTGAGTAAAGCGAAGAATAAATATGAATAGGTGACGGTGACAAAATAGAAGATATGTGCAGTGACGATGTACGCAGACAAGCCACGGAGAGACATGGGGATGAACCTGCGCCAAAAAGGTGTGCTGTTGAAAGAAAGAAGGAATAAGTATATGGTAAGTAGTAAGTAATGGGCAAAAGGTAGAGAGAGCGCATGTGAAATTCATCCACTGTAGAATTAGAATCCCCGCCACGGATCATCAGGACGGTATGAGAACTCGCTGCCATGGACCGAAGGCGTGTCAAACTCATACCGTCTCTCACTCCACTGACTGGATGTCTTGCGGGTATGGCGCTGGCGCGGAGGCGCACGAGGACGATTAATCTGTTCTGCGTGGCGGTCGATGAAAGCCTCCATACGCACAGTGCCTATGTCAAACATGTTGCTGCCAGCCCCACTGGAAGCACGGCCACTCGCCTCGGAAGTGCGTCGGCTGATACTGCTGCGACGACTTCCAATGCCTGGAGGTGGGCCTGGGGGCTGCATGGCGGGGAAATGTAGCTCCGACGAGCCGGCCGTGGTGCCGCTGTGTGAAGAAGGCATAGTACCGGCGCTGGAGAAGCTACGGAGAGCGTGGAGAGCTGGGGGACGGGGCGCGGTGTTGCTGCGTTTGCGGCTGTGGGTTGAGAAACGGGGAACGTGTGGTGCGTCGGCTGCTAGGTCGATGCTGCCCCCTGGGATTTCGGGGACTGGGGCCGGAGCACCGGCACTGTTGAAGGAGCGTTTGTGCTTTGGCACTGGGCGGGGACGGCCCTTTGCGACCCGAATGGAGTCGCGAATTGGGTTTCGGCGGAGGGAGGCTTGAGGTGGGGTTGGCGATTCTTCTTGTGGGACTGGAGGTAGAGCTGCTAGTTCTTGGAGGCCGATTGCGGAATGGCTGAGGAAGGATAGGGCTGTTAGCCAGACGTAGTGGCGTTCGATGGTTAGTGCTGTGAATTTCAGAGCACGCTGTGGTGTCAGCACCAGGATAGAGCGGTTGAATGGGATCGAAGAGCCGGCGCCTTTGGGTATGGGGTTGTCGTCTTTGACGTCCAAGACGGATTGAATCGTGACTATACCGAGGCGAGATACTATGTTAGCTGCCACTCCAACCAAATCGAATGAGTTCCTTAAAGACTTACACTTCCGGCCACTTTTGCCGAGTAATGCAGGCCCACTCGTAGGCTGTTTACTACTCCACATAATGGAGCCTTCGTACGGGGCGAGCCAAACCCATCGTTTATGTCGCACACCACTGTTCGTGATATTCGCCGACACATCGTCAGGGTTCTTGCCCTCCCAAGTCTCCTTGGACTCGCCCATCCCAAATGATTTGCGTCGACGGACGTATTTGAACATCCACTCGCCAACCATGGTCTGAGCAATAGCATCAACGACGCTGGTTGGCTGCACACCACCGGTGGAATCCTTTCTATCGCACTGTTCATGGTTCCAGGTTTGGGATGGAGTCGTGCGATGCGAGATGCGTTTCGATGGCCCGTACCGCTCACGAGGTGCTGTGATCTCATCACACGGCATTGGCGGTGGTCGATATGCTCGGTATGCGGGGCTTTCTGGGGAAAAGGTTGCGGTCGATCGTGACGGGGAAGAGTGTGTTTCTGGTCTCTCGGTAATATCCGACTGTGACGTTGCTGCTGCGGATCGCACTCGGCGGAGAGTTGGGCGCCGGACGACAGATTGGCGACCACGGTCCGAGAACTGTCTGGCGGCTGAGCGAGTAGGACTTGGAGGTCCGTCGCTACCGTTCAGCGGAAGGTTGCGTGAGCTGAGACGGATGGGCACAGGGAATGGCGGTGCGATGCTTGAGCCTGTACTGCCGCTCTCGAGGCTTGGTTCGCTGGGACTGCGGGCACGGGGTTTCTGGTGCGCGGCGGTTCCGCTGGAAATCATGGCTAATTTGCGCATGCCGGGCTGGCGAATACTGGTCATACCAGACCGCTGGGAAGCCCGAGAACGGCCAATATTGGGTGGTCTTGACTCCGGGGAAGATAGCTGCTCGTCGATCTCGGGGAGAGGCATGTCGTCCAAGCTAGGTCTTGATTTCGAAGTGATGAGCTTGCCACGACTGACAGTGTATGCGGCAAATGGGCGGTTAAGGAGCTCATCGTCGGTGAAGACATCGCGTTCGCCATGCGGGCCTTCGTCGTCGCTGTTATTCTCAAAGCCGGCGAAGAGACTGCTTGAACGTAGAGGCCGTCGAATATTGGACAAGGTATCATCTGAGAGCGGACCATTATCGTTGTTACCGGGGTAGGCCTGCACATGATCTGGACCAGGTGCTCTAGGAGGCTTCACGGGATGATCTGTCGGCTGATCTGTTATCAGACGTCTCTGCTTTCGTTTCTCGGACCGTGGCGGAACCGGGGGCACAGTGCAAAACTCGAGGCTAGGCTCTTCGGGTTCAGGGAGAGGTAGTGCATCTTGAATAGCAGAAGGAAGAAGACTGGCAGGAAGTCTGACAGGGCGTTGATCGAAACGGATCTCCTCGGTTTGGATAGCGACGGATCGGCAATCAGCAATTGCCCGGAAGTTGGCCTGGCAAGCGATGTTCTTGGTCTGCGGTGGAAGAACGACACTATTTCGAGGTGAGGATGGCTCTGAGCCTGGTGGGTGGATAGCGATCATTGGAATGTCCATCTTGGATGAGGCATTAGGAAACAGGTTTTCGCTTTGAGCAACACATGGTTCCGGAACGACATCAGTCTGGGTGGATGCCGATTTCATTTGCACCGGCTCCGGGGTGGACTCGACAGGCTGAGGCGAGTCAGCCACATTCGGCGTCCATGGAGGACTTGGGAGTTCATCCACGGTCTGACAAGAAGTAGAAACCATCTGAGGTGCAACTGGGAGCGTGGCGCTGTCATTCGTTCTAGGTATTTTCGTTTTCTGGTCGTCTTCTTTCTCGGGCTCAGGAACAATGTCGTATACAACCTTCCCTTCTAGCGTAGGCGACGGAGGAGGTGAGTACTGGATGCCGATATCGCGGTATTCAACTGCCGGGTCAAGTTTCACTGGGCTAGCAAGCCCGAGTTCCCGTGCACGGAACTCCATGGCAGTGGGTGAGTATAAGTCCGAGCTCTGCAGGGAAAGACCTAGGATCTTCCTGGCCTTGAAAGAAACACTATGCGACCCCTGTGAGTGAACCGACATTGGGCGTTCTTCGGGCAGCGCCTCCGGAGAGGAAGGCAGCTCATCATCAGATGGGACAAACTCATCCTCATCCTCTTCATCGAAGTCGAGTTCCTCCGCCAGGTTCAGACCTGAACCATTCTTGCCTCCAGGCGCGATACTCATAACTGAGTACCGCACGTTATGGAATATGACCGCCTCTTCACCTTCTTCTGAGCTCAAGGTGGTCACGCTCGTGCGTCGGCGGCCTAGGCTACTAGATGCCACACTGGCTGAGTCGCTTTCTTTATTCTTGTCATGAATATGGTCATTATTCTCACTCGGTTGTGAACGCGAGCGGATAGTCACCACTTCCTGGGCGGCTGCGACCTCGTTCAAAACGGTCTTCAAGCGGCCCTCTACTACGTGAATCTTGCGTTCCAGGGCTCGGCGTTCATCCGCCCAGGAGTCTTGGTCGCGACTCCAGAGTAATTGGGTTCGTTCGACGTCCTCCTCCCGACTTCGGGCTTTTTTCTGTGCCTGCTCGAGCCTTTTACGAACATCGCCGATGTTCTCGACCGCTTCATCGCGCTCCCGAGCTAGCTCGGCCATCGCAGATGACGTTCCACCTTCCAATAGTTGGATTTGGTGTTTCAACGAGCGCCCTTCCCAGGTCGCCTGGGACAGATTCGTGGTCAATGTTTCATTTTCAGTCCTTGATTCGTCCAAGCTCTCTTCTAACCCATCGATTGCCTTGGTTTTGTTCTCTATCTCCCGCCGTAGCGAGAGAATCTCCGATACGAGAGATGCATGGAGAGTAGGTGTGATCCTCCGCGGGTCGAAGGGGGATAAGGTATCCTCGGTGATATCGATATCATCTTCGTCTGTTTGTCCGTCGGGGGAGAATGCGGGGGTTGGGAGGCCAGGTGGGGAGGAAGGTGTCGGGGAGGAATCTCGCCGGCGCAAGGACGGTCTCGATCTCGATCTCGATCCTCCTTTGGATGGAGCTCGAGATCTGGATCTAAAGGATGGCGCCGGGGAGGGGTGGGCCATGGAAGGCGGCCACTGTAAATCGGCCATCTCTCTTTGCGGATGAACCGCCTCAAACCATCGAGGCTCTGCTCCTTGGGCTAGCCAGAGCACTTCACGCACTGGATCCCATCAAAAGACTACCGTAGTTCAACCATCCGACTATTGACTGTTTTGAAGCCGGCGCTTGTCTCTCTCCAGAGACAGGTTTCGCTCGGTGCAATCGACTGGTCGAACGCGGGATGGAGGGGAAATTCAACGCTGGGACTTTTGACACTTGGTGGAAAGAAGAGGTCAGCCACGGTTACAATGAAGATGTAAGATGCACGCTTGAGCGCAATGCCGATATTTGGATATGCACGGGAAGAGAGGCCCCCTAACTCTACTTACGGAGTACTCCAGTGACAAACAGGTCTGACCGTTTTAGCTTAAGAGAGGAGTAAGATGTCGATCGGGAGGTATGGCCCGATTCCGGGAGGGAAAATAGATCAACCCGAAGGATGCGAGGGCCGATCGCGATTATAGAATCCCTTGAGATCCAGTACTCTGTAGATTTACGCCGTACGGAGTACTTACGAAGGTAATGACCTGGGAGGAGTCGGGGCTTAGACCATAAAAAGACCTTAGGGGATTAGATCAGCCTTGCGGCATGCCTGCGCATATCGGAAACACGGACGCGAGGAGAGTCTTGGACTTCTAAAAAAGAAAGAAAGAAAAAGTCCCAGGGGCGTTCGTTAGGGGGCATATGGGGAAAGAAAAGAATCCACCCGATTAGCCCACAGGATTTAATACTCCACTGCAGCTGCCAGACACTAAGACAGATGAGCTCCAGTCAATATCCCCTGTATAAAACGCTTTCAGGGTCTGTTCGCGAGAGAGAGAATCACCAGAGTGTATGGAGTATACTTGGTATTGTGGTAGATCTCAAAGGTCATGGAGAAGCTGATTATTTGGAGACTAAGAAACAAGGAAAGGTAAAAAAAAGAGATAAAAACGGGGCCGTATTCTCAAGAGAACGAGCTATTGATCAGAAGGTCGGAAAGCCTGGAAAAGGAATATGAGTGTACTCCGTACGGAGTAAGATTCATAGATTAACTGCCTGGGGTATGTTGTAGGAGTTCGTGACAGAACTCCACTGCGTGTCTGGGCCATGAAGCTCAAGCACTTTTTGACCTGGGAAGATCACCCCCTATTTTGTTTGGCGAAATCATGGAAAGCAAACCATAAAAATAAGAAAAGCCTTTGCAATGACCAATAGTTTCGATTCCAAAGACACTAAAATAGCAAAGGTTAGCGTGTTTGATAAATTAAATGGCTGTGTTGGCGGCCAATTCGTAGCTCGTTTGGGCGACGATCGCCGTACGCAATTTCGCAGAGCCTGTAGTCTGGTTTCAGAGTTTCCAGGGTGTATGTGTTGCATATGTTGCATGTAACCTGTCGCACGTTGCATGTTGTGTAGTATTTGATTCCTTTTTGTGATGCTTTTCTCTAGACAGTCAAATAGTCAAGAATCGAAGCATCTCGGACATTATCGCGGATCAGGGGTAAATACCAGACCCATCCAAGGTCTCCACCGAGAGCTTCGAAGAACGAGGAACCCACATTGACCGAAATGAAGAACCAAACATTCATCCGGACTTCACAATGGAAGTACGCGACACTCTATGGCCTCCATGGCCTCGGTCTGTTTCTCTTGCATATGTCGATGCAAGTGCCGGTCGCACAGCTAGCAAACGTCGGAGGCGGCGCATGAGAATCGCCAATGATTGGCAATAAATGCCTTATTATCGTATCCAATGTACGAAGTACGGAGTAGGTACGGAGTCATGTCTAGACTCTGAATGTCAAGCCCCCAAATTGCCATTGGAAATCAGACTAGCAACGGGGTTTGACACGAAGGATTAAGGAATCTCCGCGAACCATTTCCACCCATTTGCCCCACTGACCTCAGGGGACGGGACGCCGGGTACTTTTTGACTTGGACGAGGGCCGTTGACAGGTCGATATTCGCTGATATTTCACATCCCTGGTCGGTTTCTTTGTCTGACAGCGCTAGTGGTGAGTCTAGATTGGAGGCGCAGACAATACACGGAAGGGCTGAAGCTGTGTGCAAAGTACGTCGTATGTACTCCGTAGGGAAGGTCACTTATAATAGAAGATCGTCGAATTGAACAATAGTCGTGATGATTAGCTTGAGAATGTCGAGAGCATTGAAAGAAGGGCGGGAAAAGAATAGGCAGAATGTTCTGTGCCACATTTTTTAAAATCTCGAAGACTGAACACATAAAGTACTCCAACTTCTTACAATGCGTGTTTCGAGACAAGTCGCTGAGAACTAACTGGCTTGATTCCCTTTCCCTTTCTCCAATAAGATCCGCCAGAACAATCCGGCCGTTACATCTGGAGATGCGATTAACCGGGCTGACTAAGCATATTTGCGTCATTCCCTGGAGATCGGCATATATAGACTTATGTTGTACATATATCCAGCTGAGATCTCAACTTTGTTAATATCCCACCTGGACAGACATCGGAAACCGACATAATCTCGAAAGTGCGGGGAACAGCTGCATATCACCATCATCATCCAACACCAACTACATAAAATGTCGACAGACAACCCGCCCCAGATGTTATTTTTCGATATGTTTGGCACAGTAGTCTCGTGGCGTACATGTGTCACGGAAGAGCTGAGCGCGGCTGCCTTACATATTGTTAATTATCCCAGCAAGGACCTCTCAGCCGACTTGCGGGACCGTGCTGCGGCCATGAGCAGTGACGACTGGCTGGCTTTTGTCGCAGAATGGCGGCAGACTTACAATGTGTTCACTAGTACATTTGACACATCCGAAAATTTTATGTCCGTCGACCAGCACCACTACAATGCGCTTCAGGACCTTTTGCGGCAGCGCGGTCTGGAGGGCCTGTTCACTGACGAGAAGCTGTGGGAACTCTCTTTCGCGTGGCACCGGCTCAACCCTTGGCCGGATAGTGTCCAAGGTCTTGAGTTGTTGAACCGGCGCTTTGCCACTTCTACCCTGTCGAATGGGAATGTCTCTTTACTGCAGGACCTTCAACGACATGGATCACTGCCTTTCACGCAACTTGTTAGTGCGGAGAACTTTGGGGCTTACAAGCCTTCTCCACTGGTTTATAAGGGTGCTGCCAAGAAGTTTGGACTGGAGCCAGGCCAGTGCGGAATGGTTGCAGCGCATCTGCGCGATTTGAAGGCTGCCAAGAGCTGTGGGTTTCAGACTATCTATGTTGAGCGTGAGCTAGAGGAAGAGATGTCACAGGAGCAGGGTGCGAACGCCAAGACTGGGGGGTACGTGGATATGTGGATTGATCTTGAGTCTGATGGCTTCCGAGAGGTGGCTAGGCGATTTGGGATTGAGTAAGACCGGTCTACCCTCTGGTCTGGGGCTAGTAGTTGAGACTGGTTCCGGTGGACAACGTGTATATTTGGACAATTTGAATGAATACTCGAAATATAATCGGTCCATTTCGCCCATCCTCCATTCCAACATGTATTTTGCCTCTCCCATCGCCTCATTCCGAATCCCCCAACATCAAGCCCAAAGGATATTCAATCTTCGCCACCCAGTAGCTGGAAAAGGTATAGGTTCTGGATTTTCATTCGCGATGTGAAGAAATTCGCGGATTGGAATTTCTTCCAGTGGGACAAGCCGGGTCTTTCGCCAAAATTTGCACCCAAAATATAGGGCAAATATAAGCGGAATATTGAAGTATGACGATACAAAAGTCTGAGAACTCCAATTGCCCTCAATAAACACATAGAATCCGCCTGTGAGCAGAATTAAACTGAACGAAACCAGAGAAATCCATGCTGCATAGGGTTGAAATGGGCTTTTCCAAGGAAGTTCAGTACGGCTAATCTTTTGCTTCTTACAGCCATAAAAGAACCTCAAATAGATCACCTCTATATTGATCCAATGCACCAAAGAGGCATCTGAGACCAGTTGCTGGAGCCAATCAAATACAACAGAAGCTGCGGATGACAGCGTCATATACCCCAAGGCAAGAAAAGATCCGACTGCGGCAACCGATATCCAAGGAACCCCGAAGCGATTGATGCGAGTGAATAATTCTGGGGCATGCCCCTCCTGAGCAAGTCCATATAGTGTCCTGGTTCCCACGAGCATGGCTGTATTTGGGTAAGCAGAAGTACAGCAGCCGACGGAAAAATGCCTACTCACCAGAATTACCAGCGCTCCATGCACTTGTGACAACGACAGCATTGATGATCGAAGGTACCACTTTGATCCCGACATTAGTGGCAGCAATCGCAAATGGAGACGCTCCAGCATCCCCGGAATCTGACAGCAGCCCCTTATCATTGGAGGGGACAATAAGGCCCATCATGAAAATGGTGATCAGATAAAATATCAGGATTCTCCAGAACACACGTTTGGCGGCCTTGGGGATGTTATGCCGAGGATTCTGCGTCTCAGCTGCTGCAACCGATATATTCTCGACGTTGGAAAATGCATAAGCTGCACTACTCAAGACACGCCAAAACCCAAGGAACCGTCCCCATGAGCCGCTGATTCCGAGAAACTGCACAAAGGGTCCAGGGTCTCGCCAAAATCGAAACCCCATGGGATAACCCCGTGGACCTGCGCCAGAGGTAATGCATACACTCTATGGAAATCAGTCAGGAACTAACCAGAATATTGCTCGGCGAGATATGCTCACCATGATATTCACACCAACAATCAGAGCAATCTTCAACATTGCAAAAACAAACTCCAACTCGCCGTAAATACTGACCAACAACATATTACTAACGATCAGCAGTGCGCCAAGGGCGCTAATCCATACTGCATGGTTAATATCAGACCAAAAGTCGATGATGACAGCGCAAGCCACCATTTCAGCCGGCAGCAGGATAGCATTTGCATAAACACTATTCCAGCCTTGTGCAAACGCCAGAGCAGGGTCAACGAACCATTCGGCGTGTCTTATGATGCCACCGGAAAGAGGCGCCAGAGCACTGAGCTCAGCCACGGAAAAGACCACGCAGCATATAAGCATACCCACAATGCAATATGCCAGCAACATGCTTAGCGGTCCACCCCTTGCTAAGGATTTTCCGGTCGCTAGGAAGAGGCCAGTACCGATGGTCCCGGCCAGGGCTATCATTTGAATATGACGTTGTTTCAGCCCTCGTCTTGTTTGAACGAGCTCGGAAATGACTGCCCGTGTTTTAGGGTTGTCTTCACCAGCGAAGGTACGTTTGAGGAGAGGTATGGCCTCATTTTCACTGGCAATCTCTTCATTTTGCTCTTCATTTTGCTCTGAGTGTTGAGAATGACTGTTCATCTCAAATGATCGGATGGGAGGGGCAAATGAATAAAAGAGGACAACTAAAATGGTGAAGAGGGGTTAAATTGAGAAGTGTTCTTAGATATGTGTGTGGTTGGATGGTGATAAGTTAAGAAGAACTTATATTCAAGTCGTGACAAGAGGATGTTTCTTATTGGTGCATGACCTGCAGCCCCGGCCCGGTTGATATTGCCGACACCAAAAATGGAAGATAAAGGATATATCACCTTTTCTTTCTTCCTCGATATAATCTTCTATCCTACTTCTCGCTTTGGCTTTTCGGAACCTAGGCCAAGAATAATCTTAGTAGGATCGCCGGAGTCGGTAACATTGAAATTATTATATGTACCGTGCTGAAGACAGTAGTCTCGAGGCAGGACAGAGAGTAGTGTGGCCCTATTCCTGTTGGTGAAATGTCGAGCAGGAGAGTCAATGAATCTGGAATATTCTCTTTGTTAGGAATATAACCACCTAGAGGCGCTCCCATGACAGCTTTGATGTTACAAGGGTATGAGCTTTGTATTGTTTATGGTTGGTTTTGAAAACACCACTCTTTCCTTGCAACTACCATCTGATCTCGGGCAGTGGCTTGCCATATCCCCATTCTTATGCTATCGGATAATTTCCCTCATTATCACTCACTTTTCACTCACCTTTCACACCCTCCGCACAACTATCGCATAAACATACCTTCATCGCTAAACCATCGAGTCTGCACTGCGGGACTACCAGGCACGTAAACCATCTTCGATTGATACTAGGAGACCTTAATCTCGCACCCCAAACATTCAAGTTCCACCTAGAGAGCACCAGAGCCGAGTTGTTAGCGAAAGATCTTGATTCAAGCAAGATGGCCTCCAAGCCTCAGGACCCACCCTCTTGGATCACTGAAGATGGCAGCCCACTCTGCGGATTCTACTGGATGAGAATCGATGCGAAAGTGCAGCCTAATTACTGGGTGTAAGCATGTTTTCCCTAGGTCCTTTGGCTGATATTTGCTCACGCATAAATCCTGAAGCCAACCTAAGGAATTGTGCGAATGCTGGGAGCACTTCCCAACCCAGTGGCCGGTTGACCATGTGATGATCGTGAGAATTCTAAATCAAGTCGCCCTAGGAGGCAACCTTTCCATGACTAACTCTTGTCGGTCTTCCAAAGCAAATCCCTGCATGTGCCTTCAGGTGCCCATATTGCACGGCACTCGATAACGCGGAAAAGGAGGGACGACCTTGCCCGGTACGGGTGAAAAGACATATCAACGCAGCGCATATCGTGAGTACTCCAGTATGCTTACCCAAGGAATGACGCTCATATCATTTAGAGAAGACAAGGAGACTTCTATATGGGACTGCAGATTTCCTGTAGGTGTGCCTCAAAGTCGAAAGAAGTCTATGCATACTGACCTTTGCTGTCTTTAGTTTCAGGTTTCTTCCAGTCCGATGCCATCTCAACTCGCAGTGAAGAGGAAGTCCCGTCCGAGACCCCACATTTATAATGTGCATAAGAACAGGTCGCCATAGTGGTCTTATGAACCGGCTGAAAGGACACATGAACAATGAAAAATTGAACTCTCAATGAAGCCCAGAGCCAGACCTCTATTGCAGGACTTGGTTTTATTCAACATGATACTGGCACCCACGAGGGCAATAAGTGCAATGAGAAGATAGGGGCGTATGATAAGAAATATTTTATCACTCGGATACCAGCGGGACTTCTTGGTTAGTTTCTTAGTAAACGGAGTGGACGAGGATTCCAAAGGCGTGTCTGTTGTACCGATGGAGACCCTGCAATCAAATTGGTCACTCAGATTACTGGCTATGCTTACTAGCTTGCTCTATTTCAGCGATATAAGATGAGTGTTTATTGACTTTATTCTCTAACGAGTTGATGCTGAGATTCTGCAGTTGAATAAGATCAGCATAAGCCCCTTGCCTGACCATAAGTTCAGTGTAATTCCCTTCTTCCACCGCCCATCATGATGGTTTTATCATCTTTGTTATACTAGAAAGACGATGTGCAATCGAGATCATGTCTCCTTCAGAGCACGGCCGCGAGAATTTCCTTCTCGCTACTGGAGTTGAGGGAAACTGTAGCTATATTAAGGACCAAACCCCTTCAAGTCTTTGAGTAGAGCTCACGCGACCGAATTCCGTTGCTTTTGGCTGTCTCTCACAAGATTCCGTTGGAGCCCACGATAGTACCGACTCAGAGAGCCGATAAACCGTGCTGTGTCTGTATCTCATTTCTATGAGCCTGTGCAGGCTTCAGTACATATTAGCTACCACGTGTTATAATAGCTACTTTCTTTTGTTTCTGTTTCACATTGGTTAGATGCTGTTATAGGGATGATCAACCTAAGCGAAGTAGTATAGAAGTCAAACGCCGATATCGGAAATTGTCAATATAATACCAATAATACACGCTAGTAAAATATATCCAAGCCCTAACTCCCATCTTACCGCTCTTCGCGAAGCCGGTATCGGAACAGCGCCGTTGCAGCTCCTTATCTGATCTCTTATCAGATCTGACGCACATTGCCAAACTAGTCTGCACCTGGGCCACTTGCAGCACACAATATCTCGTAATGCAACTGAAAATCCTCACTTCACCGGCCCAGGGAGAACCTGGTGTGCTCCACCACTGTGTACATCACCCACCCACCCCCATAGCCAAGTCATCCATACCGCTAACGCCACCTCGCAGACCAAATCCCTCGTCGCCTTCGAATATACCCGCAGCCATGTACCCAAGCCACACACCCTCGTCTTCGTCGGCGGACTAGGTGATACCCTCGGGTCAGTCGACTATCTCAGCGACGTAGTCCGAGCGCTAGACCCATCGCAATGGAGCGTATTCTCGCTGATCCTATCCTGCGCCGGCGGCGGGTGGGGCATGGGCCGACTGGGCAAAGACATTGATGAGCTATCACAGTGCGTCTCATACGTCCGAAAATATAAGGAGCCCCAATTCGGCGTCGGAAAGGTGGTCATCATGGGCCATTCGACCGGCAGCCAGGACGTGATGCACTATATTAACTGTCCCAACCCACGGCCAGCACACCCTGTCTTCGACCGCCACTGGAAGCCGATTGTGCGGGTGCCAGTTGATGGGGCGATTATGCAAGCGCCGGTTTCTGACCGCGAGGGCATATTGTGGGTTGTGAAATGTGGCACTGCGCGTGATAGCCCGGCCAAAATGCGCGCGATGTACAATAAGGCTGTTGCTGATGCGCGGCGGGCGATGTATGAGGATCACGATCTTGTTGATACAGTTGTACCATTGACTGTGACGTCGCGGATTGGGTATCCGCCATCTGCGCCGGTTAGCAGTCGGCGATTCTTGAGTCTGGCTAGCCCAGATAGTCCGGAGGATCCGTCTGAGGATGATTTATTTAGTTCCGACTTAAGTGATGAGCGGTTCCGTGTGACATTTGGGATGGTTCGGGAGAGAGGCTTGCTGAAGCAGAAAATGCTGGTGCTGTACTCTGGAAGGGATCAATCGGTGCCGCCGTGGGTTAATAAAGAAGCACTATTGAAGAGGTGGCAGATTGCTGCTGATGGGAGTGGGCGGCAGATCTGGGATTCAAGGAGTATGGTTATTCCTAATGCATCACATGCGCTGAGTGATAGCGATCAAGCGGAGCCGCGGCGGATTTTGGTGGAGAGGGTGACGGCTTATTTGAATGACATTCAGCGAGGATGATTTCCGCCGAATTGGTGAGATTGTATGATATTTAAGCAAAATATATTCGATCCTCATATGAGAGAGTTCTCCTTAGAATCCGGGAGGTCAAGACCAACGAAATAGTTCAAAGCAACTCTACCCTGTAAGTGAATCAATAACGGTACCTGCACTGGTGGATTCCGGGCTAAAGGCATCGACTGTGAGCCTAAGGCGGCTGCTAGTTGTACCGAACATAGCTCTAGTAGTCTAGTCAGACCAGCCTTGATATATTCAACTTCTACTGCGACCAGTTATTGTGCAACTATCTGCATGATGCCGCACCACCACACTAGTACTATAAACTATGGCGAATTATATGAGGACACTATTATTGATATCGACTCCGATATAGCTGACGATGAAGCGCGGCCACCTATCTTAATGACGATCTTGACAGCTGGTAAATATGGTATGCCTCTATTCTTACCCACCACAGTAGTCAGTCTAAAGCGGTTAGGAACGGCAGAAATCTCATAACAATCCTATTCTTATTCCACTACCGAGGCACAAGTGCAGCTGGCTCTGAAGACTAAAACGGCAATAAGATTACAATAATCCTACATGTTTATAGCTTAAGCCTTTTGGCCACATGGCTTCCTCCCCTTTCTCCACAAATAATGATACATACTATCTATTATTGAGCCTTGACACGCTCACATGATGTTGAACTAGTCCAGCATCGTTGATCCAATCAATAGCGTAACGGGAGGATCATATTATTGACCCCAACACGTTTTAAAGGCATATCGTCGGGGATCTTTCGGGCACTTGGCACATTGAGATCGACATCTACTGTGTCTACAATACTCCGTATACAGTGTGCAATATACGCATGTGATCGGAACAACCTTGGAAAGATGGACAACCCCCTCGAGCAGTATTTAAGCCACGGATCAATATTGAAGATCCCCCAAGCCAAGATCGGGCCGCAAGGAATAATTTTGAAATGTCACATCGAGTCCATTTCCAAGAATCAATTAGTTTCCCAAGGGCCAATCTGCTGGGAACCGCCCTGCCGATCGCTGGAAGCCGCAACGCACGACGGATGCAACACATCCACAAACCAATGACAGATATATTGCAGATTCAGGGGATATGACCAAGAGCCGTTGCATCATGCACGTCAACACAAGGCAGGTGCAAACCGAATCCCGTCACCGGTACTCCTAAGCCGATATGAACAATATGCTCGAGATTAGAATTCCTAGACCAGGGCGAGACCATAGCGGATCGTTGAACGGCACAAATTCAGCGTTCCCCATATAACGGCCAGGCGGGAGGAGCCGTTGACCAACCAACCCCTGCCCCTTCAATGAAATGCACGGCTACTTATGGTCCCACGGAAAGAGCTCCCCCTTACGGAGTAGCATGGCAACTGAGCCGTTGGCCCGGGCCATTCCGTGTGAACAGGGGGATGAAACCATCCTAGGACGTGCCCTAACAAGTTTTGATCTTTAAATGCTATGAATATGCTGATATGAGAATCTAAAATATAACTGCAGTTTAGGGTTCTTCTCTTGAAAGTTGACCGGAAGAGGCCGAGCCGGGATGTACTTCTTTCAGAAAAAGAGAAAGAGAAAGAACTGGTTCCGTCGGGGCCCGGCCTATTGCATTCAACAAAAAAAGTGGACGGAAACAGTTTCCCCGATATAACTCCTCCCCTGGCCCGCGGCCACAGAACTGGGACGGGAAAAGGGAGCCATTCCGGATCCTACGAGTTGATGCCCAACCAGTTGCCTACTAGGGAAATAGAGCAGCAGATTTGTTCGATGAAAAGCAAGAAAAATAAAATAGAATTCAAGCCAAGCAAATTCAAAAAAAATTAACTCATACAACAGGAGTACATAGTACATACCCACCTTCCGAACTTCCTCCCGTTGTCTTCTTGTCCACCGTTGTAGCTAGCAAGGCCCCTAGGACGATCTATGTATCAATGGGGACACTTTTTTTTACGCGCCCCTCCACGGGTGGACATTGCAATGGCATGAAGACTTTGACATTTGCCGGTGACTATAGGCTATTTGAACCTATTGGCCAGATCTTAGGTTGTATACCGGATGCATGCGCAAGAGCGGAAAAATGACAGTGACAGGGGTAGAATGGACAGGGGGTATAACGTGGAAGGGACGATAACGAGAGCCAATCTAAGGTGGCCATGAGCCATGACTCGATCCTGAACTAGTTCGAGGTTGGCGTTGAACAGTTACAGAGATGGATGTTCCGGAATCCCAAATCCACATTCATTTGACTTACGCTATTCGGGTAGCGTCTCCCAGGGCCATGGAGAGAGGGAGATTTATGTTCCAGGGTTATAATTGTAAGGGGAGTATACTTTGATAGTACGAACTCCCACGTTTCAAAAACCACGAGGGAGATGGGGACATCGTGTGCCACCATCGACACTAATTTAATTAATTCCATTCTAATTGCAGGACTTGAGATAGTATGTGCAACATAAAGAGAACATCCCATGCATAATAAATAATACATCTTCATGGTAGGGCAGTGAAACCATAGATCGTGCCCCCCCCCCACGTGTAGACTGGGGTACACAGTGCCTCAGTTTGAGCTGTACCTAGATGAACCGGCCCAAATTGTTAATTTCAAAACAAGAAGAAAAGAAAATAAGAAGCTCTCAGCTTCTGCCGGCAGGGAAATGAGCTTCAGCCAAGTTACGGAGTACGGAGTACATCCGGGATTATCCACTGTGCCCTGTGCGCTTCTCCTTTTCACTGTGGACCTTTGGGACCTGGGCTTTTTCTCTCTTTTCTG